AAACCAAAACCTATAAGAACAGAGAGGATTGAAGATCAATCTGAAAAATTTCAAAACCATCTATATCCACTAGACTGCATAATAAGCTCAATAGAACTTCCATGTTCTTGCTCATGTAACGTTGGTCATAAGCCCATAACAGATCACTTAGGCTCAAAGTTATATTGATTTAGAAATAAATATACCATTAAATAGGAAAATATTCCATTTTTTCCAGGTCTTCTTTTATACTCTTTGCAAACAAAATTGCTCAAAAATCTTGATACAGTATAATGCTAGTAGCATAGCATTAAAATGGGTCTAATAATGGGCTTCAAATATTTATCTTATAATAAAAGATGCAGTTTCCATCTGGAATAAATTTACATTCTTGGTGAAAGTCCTGCAGCCATAATCAAAGGGGCATGTCTAGTGTATTTGACAACCAGAACAGATCATTTTTAATGCCCTTCCCTCAGTTATTAAGACCATTTACTCTAAAATCTTCAACTCTAAAGTTACTTGTTCCTAAATACAAGACTCTTCTTTCACCTTTTTCAGATTCTCTCAGCTCAATCAATGCATCTTTAGTTATGGTCTTTAGAATCTTAACCACTCCCCCTTCTTCCAAACTTAAGAAGTTGGAATCTAGAGTAACTCTGAACTCTAGATTCCAATTAGCATCAGCTTCAAAGCTTTGACCCAATGAATTCCCACAACCCCCCACTCCTGACTCCTGCTTTCAGGGAAAATTATAGACAGTATGAAGACAAAAAATGAGATAAATATATGAGTATATTGAATAAATTTCAAGTAACCTAATCTTATTTTATGACATTTTATAGGGGTCTTTACTTGACGTGGAACCAATGAAAGTGCCCAGTATGTCACTTTTGCCTGCACTCAGGGACACTGAGGTCAACAATCAATTAAACATACAAGATTTTCACAGTATTAATGTCCATTCCCATATTAAAATCACTTCTGAAGTTATATTTCAAAAAATAAGAGCACTTGGAAATACCCTAGGAACTAAATTAAGTTCTAAGGATACAGACCAGTATCAGTCTTCTCCTTGACAGTTAGAAGCCAGAATCCCTCCTCCATTCTTTGCTTCTTATTTCTATCCCATCTCACTATTACAGAAGCTTTCTAACACTTCATAGTTTCTGCTTCTCTTTATTCTGCTCTACCCTATATTCTGAAGATAAAATAGCTTTTCTAAATCATCTCCAAATATATGTTTTCCTTAATTAGAAATGGCCATCCATTATCAATTGAAATTAACTAACATCTGATGGAGTCTTTAACATCACTCAAGTTTCCTTTCTGCTTGCTTTCTCCACAGCTCCAGTCTCTATGTGCAGATCTTCTCACATACATATGATATATCTTGCATCCTTGGTATTCTAAATCCCCAGGACACTTTGCTTCTGTCTACCTGGTGGAACCCATTTAATCCACTTTCTTTTGTTAGATGTGTCTTATTCCTCTTACTTGCTCCATTAGATGTTAAGAATTTTAGAGCAAAAATTGTATCTTGCTCATCTTTGGATTCACCTTAACAAAAAGTACATGAGTACAAGTCAGGTATTCAAAATGATAATAAGAATAATGATGCTAAATTGAGTTGAGATCAATTATTTTTTCTACCTGTCCCCTAGAGAGGCACACCACATAATTCCCAGAGTTAACATCCAAATAACTAGCTAGAATAACATCACATCTGCACTCTTCAGCTCAACTTGTGTGTAATTTTGCAATGTCTGTTCAATCTTAAAATCTAACTCATGTATTTCACTTTCCTGAGATGTCACACATGCTCACAAATGCTTGTCTCTTCATTAACAGTGCTTTTTATTCAGCTTATAATCTACATGATTCTTAGATTGATTCTGGTCACACTTGTACTTACAATATATTTGCATAAATTGAGCATTAGTCTTAGTAGTTAGCATGCAATTTTTCAGCATCTGGAGTATGGTTACTCCATTTCCTAAGTAGCATACTTATCTCCACAGCGTTAGTAGGTAGCATGTGTTATACATATGTATGTAGAGATACACCATGTGACCTATCACACAGCCATGGCCAAAAGAGCAAGGAAGAGCACAGAGTAAAAAAAGTGAGATGAAGATTCCATAACTTCATCATCTCTGTTCCCACCATGCTTTGTGAAAATACTAAAGAATCCTAGAGCTCTGGAAGTCTGAAACTCATAGTGTAAAATGCAATGGGATGCAATTAACATGTTCCTTTTTTAAAAATAGCTTACACTACAGAGAGAAATATCTAAATGGATATTTAAATTCAGTATAAAATTCTAGCAACCACAATTTTAATTTCGCACCCACTGCAAAATGTCTTCCATTGTCTAAATAAAAGGAAAGCTATAATACACGCTGTCTGCCTGTTTCAGGACTCCATTATTAACCTTTAAGAATCTTTTCTCGAATAAAAGCCTCTTTTTCCAGCAAATGCATCCTCGGATGAGAACTTCATCTTCTAAAATTTTAACTTCTGCTTTGGTCTGCTTTAAAACTTTAATCCCCGACATAAAAACATCCTTCCTAATATTTCAGACACAGAATCTCAGAGCTTTTTAAAGACTGTCATTTCAAAAGCAGTCATTTTTAGAAGTCACAACAATGAAAAGCTACCTATTTCTCCAACACACAAACACACATGGGAAAAAATAAACATTATGCAGTTTGATTACTCAACAGCAAGTCGTCACAAACCCCAGCAAAGACCTGGCTGCTGTTGCTATGGAGATGACTTTATGTGGTTCAGCTCTTCTGGGAATTTAACCAAATCCCCAGCAGCAGGAGAAAATCATCAGCAAAAATTCTGTAACATATGGCAACTGCCAACAAATCAGTGAGAGAAAAACACTTTCATTTTCTCTTCCTTATGGAGAGAAATACCTTCACATTAAGCTGTTTGAAGAAACACCCAGATTGTGTTGGTCACTCTGTGTGTAATTCTAAATTAAATAATACCAGATCCCTTCATTCTTAGGCTAACAGAGCTACTGGTACCCAGCCAGACTTCTCAGCATATACATTCCCAGAATGACATTTGGACACAGGCAAGAACTGCACACATCTTCCCATACCTCTCAGTTTATTGGCCCTAAAGGAAAACTTTCTACCTGCAAAGTTATCCCTTGGAAAAGAATGTCAATGGAATTTTAATATATATATATGATGCTCTTGAAGCTCATATGTGATGATCATGTGTGTGGGATGTGTGCATGCGTGTGTGTGTGTGTATCAAACTATTTGGTTCTATTTATAGTCTAATGATTAAAGTAAGAATTTTTAACAGGAAGATAAAGATGCAGGACTTTATTTTCTTTAGTTCTAGCAATCCTATATTTTAAATGATTATCTAAGCATCAAATTAGAGGTCATCTAGATCCAAATACCTAGATTCTCTCTCCATTGTATTTTTCTTCAGAAAATAAAGATTGTGTCAATATGCCCTATTTCATCAGAATTCTATGAAAAATGCTTGTTTCAGAAGGAGTAAACACATCTACTGATGAGGACAGCATTACCTTCCAAGGTGCTTACTCTATTTGGGACAGTCCACAACATCAAAAAGAAGTTCCTTGTGGTAAAACTAATCCACTTCTTTTTGAACTGTACTACTGACCTTGATTTTGTACTTCCAAGGAGATATAATTAAGCCCAACATTTTGTCCACACAAAAGCAGCTCACAGATCTAAGGACAGGTTAGTACTCTTCCCATGATCTGCAGTCCAAACTTCACCCCTCCTGATACTCCTCAGGGGCTCTGGTTCCTTGCTCTTCCCTGTCCCACTCAACCCTCACTCAAAGTACATTAGTTTGCCTAGGATTTCCTTCATTGAAATTTCTCTAATGGAAAAGATATCTTTGGCCTAAATTGAGGGGTATCAAATAAAAATGTGATGACAGGCCAGGCTCAAATGGGTAAAGCATCCTCAGGTAAGCACTCGAAGAGTGAGAATAACTGCGGTGAATTAGACAATGAGTTACCAATCTGAGTATTTAAATTCACATATTGTAAAATACTACACACACACACAAATTGGTCTACAGTTGTGATTCTTGGCCTAAATTACCCTTATGTCAAAAATAAAACTAAAATAGGTACATCTGAGAATTTGAGAATTTAAACACAACACCATGGTCATCTATGTCATTAGTCAATATTGGCGAGTTGTTATGGGAATTTAGCAAGCGAAGTTCCTCTCAATCATCCCCTCAAAAATTCAACACAACTCCATCATTCCCTCACTGCTCTGCATCTTATATCAAGTGACCTTGCTTTACACCAGAATGAATGAGGCACAGTCAGGAAAGGTATGTCATGATTGAGTAGTAGTAATAAAAACGTTAGTTCTGACTAAAAGGTAAGAATTAATTTTCACAGAATATTTAAAAAGACTCACATTATTGATTTCTAGACCACATTAACTCTTTTCTTTACTAAGACTTAAAATGTTCTTCACAAGAATAAACTTCGTTCTCCTTTATATTTAAAGATCTAATGCTGCTTCCCAATACATATGCAAAGCCTCTTTCTCCTGACCACTCAGGCACATTCAGGAGCCAGCTAGCTAGGTACTAGATATGGTCTGTGGGCATTGCCCAGGGTGGCAGCTGCTCTAAGCTTCTTTGGAAACATCAAAGTGATATTATGAATACAAGATAACAAAAACCCCAATTTAAACTTTACAAGCTCAGGAGCACGGGACATGTAAACAAATTGGTGGAAAGGTATCACTATCTTATGATCACATGTCTCAAGCTCTGAAGCATTTGGATAGTGACACTTACAGCAAAGAATTAGTGGCCTGGCAACTGCAGTTGTCATGGGCAAACTCTACAAAGACTGCCCCAACTGACTCTCTAATTACTCGTTCACCACTCTTCAGTTTAAATATTCTTCTCTCAGATTCACATTAGTATTCTACATACACACACAGATATCCATTCTCTAAGGAAAAATAAACAAATTCTCATTTTACCTCCATCCGTCATCCTTGATCCAGAAGGTTTGCCCGGAACAGTCAGATGGTCTTGACTGCTACTCAACGAAGAAGTGTCATCACTAGATAAAGAGTTCAAAAGCCCACTTTCTGCTGTGACACAGCTGTTTTCTGGGGCCTTGCAACTGTTTGCCTCCGAGGGAGCAGGCAAATGGACCTGCACAGCAAAAGTCAGGGAGTGTCCGACATCTTCCACAGCAGGTGAACTATTAACTATGTTGAGCCAGGACTGTCTTTCTTTAGATCCAGAGGAAGAAAAGCTGCCAGATGTCTTCACTGTACTTTCCAGGGAGGAAAAAGAACACGATGTTTCACTCAGTTTGGGTGAGGATGAAGATGCCCGCTGTGCAGCCTATTTTCCATAAATAAAACCAAAAGAAGAATAAAAGAAATCATGATTAAACTGTTCTTTACCTTTCATTTTTATAAAGACACCACAGAGTTGTCTCAGAAAGTGACAAGAATGAAAGAGTCAAAGGATGTGTATATTTATATATTTTTTCTGTATCACAACCATTAACATTTCATGTCCCAGAACTTATTTATATAACTTTAAAGTTACCACTCAAAGGTCTGAAAAATCTCCATATTGTGATTGATCCTATTCTTAAAGGCTCTCAAAAAACTAAAGGTTTTAGGGGGGAATTCTTTAGAACACTGAAGGACACTTTAAACAAAAGATAAAATTGTAATTAATCATAGGATTAGCATTAGTTGAGCAAAACCCATTGAGAAAGGTGAGTGGGAAAAAAAAACCAAGGAGCCGGGAGTATAGATCAATTGATACCTTGCCTAGCATGCCCGATGCCTTGGGTTTAATCACCAGCATCACAAAGCAGGAGGGAGGGAGAAAGCAAAATCTTGTTAATAAGGAGCTGAGATGGGAGAGCAAGAAAACACATATATTTAGACCCCTGAGGATCATTCATGTATTTCTCAGCACATGACCAGTATCAAGCCGTAACTGGACAGGCTTGATGAAATAATGTTAACTCATTCACTCTTCAATCACTTAAAACTTTAATAAATTTTCATGAAAACAGACAAGAGTACATGTGCACTCTCTCTATGCATTAAAGAGGAACCAAAATCCATGCCACTGACAATGAGAAGTGAGCTGATGATGTACAGCTTCTCACAGCAGGTCCTGATGCAGCTTCCAGGGTGAGTGACTGTCCTTGGCCATCTCTTTACCAACCCCCAGCAGAAATGGCAACGCAGTGTCCCAGTAAGCACATTTTGAGAGGAAGGGTTTCACTCATTCCAAGATTTTATCTTTGTTGCATTTTCATGATGAAATATGTGCTTTCTTTTGAAAAATGATAATTATATATATATAAGTATGTCCATATATAAATATATATGAATGTATTCATATATATCTGTCTTTTGGAGCTTTTTTAATATCCTATGTAACAAATCTCTATGTTGATATTCCATTCTTTAGCTTTATTGGCCAATAAGACCCAAAATTCTTGACTCCGGTGTTGTCCGGGTCACTCTATATTTCCAACGGCGTATGGCTCAGTTTCATTATCCCATCTTTTATACCTTTCTGTAAGATGTTCCTTTGTAATTTCAAGCATTCTAAACTCTAAGTGGAAGGAAGAACATTATTGAAGAGAGGAAACCAAAGAGAAAACTAGGATCTTCTTCAAAAGTCTGAAAAATCATTGCACTGAGCTTTGTTCCAAGTCAACATGGCCTCAGGACACCTGCAGTTCTAAACGCTGAGTTTTAACAGGAAAAACCAGTATTTATTTATGTATCCAACTGGTTCCATAGCGGGCATGAATTGTCAAATAGTTAATAAACCTAGTTTTAAGTAGCTTGACATTAAAATATCCACTTACAGTGAAACTGATCTCACACACCCACACATACACACACACACACATACACACACATCTCAATACTAGTACACTGCATAGATATGAAAACATCTAGAATATGTATTAGCTTGGGAAATGGCTACTGTAAATCATTCTTGACCATTTAACAACTGGGAGATCAAAGATCTGTAACCCACTAAAGAAAATCTTATTTATCTACGGGAGAGATTGTACAACCCTTAAACTGTCCAAATAAATGCCAGAAATAGTTTACTCATTAGCAGGAGCTATAAAATAAACATTAACAAAAATACTCATGCTGGCCCAGTTCTGACATGATCCCCTATTGTGAACTATTTTGGTAAAACTCAGCTTCCATGTGATCAGCTTCCATTTTTGAAAGGAGATCAAGCATGAGCTTTTCCTGTCGCTCCTGCTGATACTGCTTTAATTGGATTAGAGTAAAAAAGGCTATTTGCGAAACAGACTGTGTGCTTGGTTGCTGCAGCACTTTCCTCAAGGTTTTCTAAACCTCCAAACTGCTTCAGTGACTAAGCAAAGGCATGGGACATGAGCACCGGAAAGGGCTTCAAAGTATGTTCCTGCTGGGTGCTTTTCAGACACGATGAAAATACTCTCACTCCATTTTCTCTGTGCAGTGACATTCATAAATTTGATTATAAAAGGAGGAAAGAAGGGGTGAGTAAAAAATTAGAAGGAAACAGAGGGATGAAATGAACTGGAAGGCAGAGAAAATAAGAAAAGATTACGTGTATTAAGAGGAAATGCAAATCACATTGACAAAATGCAAATCACAGTGAAACTAGAGCTCCATTTCAGAGCATTCAATGTAGGCTCACTCTTTATGGCCCATTGAGTACCAAACTATGGCTCATTATGTATAAGATTATGTAGCTGCTGGTGCCAAGTACAAAGCCCACTACTCTAGCGGACCATCCTGCGAACTACTCACATAGCACACTCATAACACTCCCCAGCACAAATGAAATAAAGGTGGGAAGTGGTGGCAACCTCTTCTCGCCACCTCACCTTGGCCTGACTAATAGAAGCCCGTCCCTTCACAGACAATTCATAGCCACCTCCTCCAAGAAGCCCTCTTGGAGAGTCTGAGGGCCAGGTTCAGTGCTCCTGGGCTTGCCTCTACTGTACTAAGTGGAGTATCATTTTATTTCCCAACTTCTGTCGCAACTGTGATTGAGTGCTAATCTTCCATGGTGAGCTTCTTGAGAGCAGGCTGTTTTTAGTCATTTTTGCACCTCCATTTTTTTGCATCTGTGCCTGACACATAGTTGGTAACAAATTAATGCCAGCAAAAAAATGGTTTAGAGAGCCAGCTATGTGAAGAAAACTCCCCAGAGTAGTTCAGCTGCATACTGAGGAGCTCCCTGAAATTCTCTGTAAAATTGCTAACAGTTACTTATCTTAATTCCAGGGTCCAAGGGTTATGGGTACCAATTATAATGAACATAGTTTCACAAATGTTCCCACATACCAGACAAAACCATTTTATTTCATTAGAGCATGGTAATAGTATGTGGTTTCATTAATTCAAGAATATTTGGGTTTGAAATATTTCCTCTTTAATGAGACTATTACAGATACTTTGAAGGTCTTAGTTTTAATTAAGAAACTATGATCTGGGCACAGTGGTGCCGGCCTGCAATCTCAGCTACTGGAGAGGGAAGCTGAGGCAGGAGGACTGCAAGTTCAAGACTAACCTGGGCAGCTTTGCAAGACCTACTCTCAAAATAAAAAATAAATGAAAGAGACAGACAGACAGACAGAGGACAGAAAGACAGACACAAGACAGAGATGCAATGACAGACAGAGATCGAGACAGAGCAACACATGAATGAATTTTTCCCATTTCCTGTACATAATTATTTATTGAAGAAACTTAATTTAAAAAGTTAGCTCTAAAATTCTTCTCTTTGAATTGTTTTCATAACCCAAGTCTGACACAGTGAAAAAATGTTTAAAATAACCTCTGAAAGCCCATAATTAAGAAGAAGTGATTCAGCATATAAATCATCAGCAACTTCAGTCAAAGTACATGAAAAAAGAAAAGAAAGGAATAATTTGAAACTAAACATAGGAAAACCAAATAAGAACAAAGGAGGGAAGGTGCACAGGTTTTATTTCTTTTTATTAGTCACATTAATGAAAGCCAAAGACAGCTGTTTCTAAGCCCCAGGAGACGTTATGTTTGCATTATTTCTATTTGCTTAGGGGCTGGGGATTTAGCTCAGCGGCACAGCACCTGCCTGGCAAGCACAAGGTCACGAGTTCGATTCCTGGTACAGGAAAAAAAAATCTATTTGCTTGAAGACACAGTATTCTGAAAACCAGAAGACCTCATATAGTATCCAAGGTCCTCTACTTCAGGCTTTACGTGTGCCCTTGACCCATGAATTGATGGAAAAATCACTTATCCCTCTAATCCCTAGTATCCAAGAGACCTTGAAAAAATGATTTTCCTCCAAGACCTATTCTACCAGTTTCTGGCTTCCAAAATTATCCCATTCCCTTCCCTGGACAGCCTCCAAACAACACAAAACAGACCACAATAGTCCTCTGCTGAAATCCCCCAATCCTGACTGCCACAAGTAGTCAAACATCTTCATTAGAATCAAGGCCCACTGGACCCCAAACCACCACTCCAGCTTCATTTCCTTTCATCTCTCCTTTCATCTGTCCTTTCCATCCACACTGGCCGCCTTTCTGTCTTTTAAGGAAATCTGTGAGTTTTTCTGACTTCTTGGCCTTCCCTGTGGATTCCTGCTTGGCTGCCTACTTCTTGCCATTTACACCTCAACTCAAACATCACTTCTTCTTCAAGGGTCTCCTGGAGGAGGCAGGAGGACTGCAAGTTCAAGACTAACCTGGGCAGCTTTGCAAGACCTACTCTCAAAATAAAAAATAAATGAAAGAGACAGACAGACAGACAGACAGAGGGCAGAAAGACAGACACAAGACAGAGATGAAATGACAGACAGAGATTGAGACAGAGTAACACATGAATGAATTTTTGTGTTCATGTATTTTCAGAAGTACAATTCATTTAAGAACCACAAATAATGAAAAAGCAATACTTTTTCCATCCCATGTCCTAGCCACTCCCTTGTACACTGCTCTATTTTATATTTTTCATAGCACTTATTGGTACTTGAAGCATTTTTTAAATTATCCATTTATTGTCCTTTAACTTAGAACTTAAAATATTCAAGGGAGGGGATGCTGTCTGGGTAATTTCAGGATTCCCTCACCCTCAACAGTATCTGGCACATGGAAGACACCCCCAAAAATCTATTAGCTGCCTGATTGACAGATTTACCAGGAGAAGAAAATGATATAAGCAAGAGAATGAAAGGGAATTCTTAATAGATATGTACAGCTTGTAAATATTGTGACAGGTACTTTTACTTTTTTTAGAACTTGGCCTCCTCATTTGTAAAACTGATACAGGATTTTTTAAGAGTTAAATGAAATCATCCTTCTCAATGCAAAAGCATTGGGCAAATACAAAGTAGTATCTTTCTAATTCACATGGAAAAATAGTTGTGTAGTAAGAAATTTATGGAAGGCACAAATGAAATCACAATAATCACTCACTTATCCACCCATGCACCTGTTAAATACTTTCAGATATGTGATAGGTATGGTCATAAATGTGGGTAACAAAGAAGTTTGGATACTGTCTCTGATTTTAAGAATGTCATAATAAATAGGTATTGTACATAAAATCTAAAATTCCAGACATGTTATGGTAACAATGGGAAAAACACCCAAAGTCAAAGTGCTACAGAAATACAGAGAGAATTTGGACAAGGATAGAATTACCCTTACATAGAGGATCAGGGAATTGTCCATGAAGGAAGTCACATAGGAGACAGACTTGAAAGATGCTTAGAGATTCCAACTACAGAAACTCTCTTCAAGGAAGGTGCAGAGCAGGTAAGTATGGGAAGTTCTTGGGAAATAGCAAACAGTTCCTTGGACTGATGACAAAGGAGGAAATAGCAACAAGATGTCACGGCACTTTGAAGATATCTCAGTGGCCTTAAATACAAAGCCAAAGAGTTGGGAATTGATAAATGATGAGAGTTGGCGGAAAGGTTCTGTGCAGTAAATGAAGATTATTAGAACTGCATTTTAGGAAGGCCAATTTAGAGGTGGCTTTTAAGAGGACAAACTACAGGCAGTGGAAGAAAAATAGCCTGTTGTTTCAATAACGTGGTCAAGAGCTAGTGATGGACTTGACTAAGGTTGTAGGAATGGACAGATGGGAGGAAGAGGTAGTGGAACAGCCACCAAAGCTTGCGATCAAATCCACCAGGGGAGAAACCTGCAAAGATGAGCTGTAAAAGCAGAGAAAAAAATGCACCAAGAAATTTTAGGAAAGCCTTAAAATCACTTCAGTGTTCAACCATAGAGATTTGATGATTTTTTAAGGAGAAAGGCTAAATCTTCCTTTTTCTTCCTGCATATGTATGGTCACTTATGATTTGTCATGTAATTACCCACTTGCAAGCATTTATATTGTTTTGTATAAGCAAATATTGAATGATCAAGTGACCTTTCACAGAAAATGACTCAAGCTTCATCCTGTTAAAATTATATCTGAATTTCTAAAATTACTTTTACCCCTTTCTAAAATGGCTGCTTAACCATCCACTTCCTCTTCTGCCACTGGGCAATGAGCCAGTTTACATAATTTATTTTTACTTATTTATTCTTTGGATTACTTTAGGTGATTTTTTCATTATTTGTGGTTCTTAAATGAATTGTACTTCTGAAAATACATGAAAATGTGAGGAGCAGTATACTGAAATAAACTACACAAGATGTTTATATCTGGTGTTGTAATATTCATCTCCTCTATTTCTCTCATATCTGATTCGCTCTCTGGTAGCTCTATCTTCCAAATATATTCAAAATCCAGCCACCCCATCTGTCAACGTCCTCACTGCTGTCCCTTGATGAAATCACCATCATTTCTCCCAGTACATTACTAAGCACCACCAAGTCGTCTCTGCTTGTGTGGGGCCCAGGGTCTCTTCCACACACCTGAGTAGTCAAAGTGGAATTGCTGATATCGGTCCTTTGCTCGTATGTTCCAGACAGTGCCCAAATAAGTTACACCAGAGCGTCAAAGTTCTTAATCAGCCGCTGGCACCAGATGGCTTGGCCATGACCACCCCTTGACTTCACCTTCTACCTTTGTCCTCCTGGTTCCCCTGCTCCTGACACTCTGGCCTCTATGCACCACTTTACACCAAGGAGACCTTGACTTTGTCACCTTTGCTCAAAACCATCCTCAACTGCCACCTGGTTGACTCCTTCAGCATCTTCCAAGATTTTTGTTTATAACAACACTCACAAAGCAGCACAATCTGGTGACCCTACCCATCTCCAGCCCTAGCACTCCCGATTGCCTTACTCGCCCCTACTGCCATAAGCAGGTGATTTACTGATTGTACTGACTGCCCATTATCTCGTTCAACTAGAAGTTTGTTCCATGCAGAATGTGAACCACTGTCTGCTGTCTTTACTGATGAGTCCAAGTACTGAGAAGAAGGGATTGCAATACTTGCTAAATGAGCATGGACTGAGTTATTAAACAGTACATTCTTAACAATTAAACTTAGTAATTTAGTATGTATGGGAGATTTTTTATGGCATTTACAGTTCCTAAATCACTCTGTAAAATTTTAGCTCCTAAATCACTTTTTAGAAAATTATCAGGTTTGAAATGTGAATGAACTTGGTCTGTGTGTATGTATGTGTGTGTGTGTGTGTGTGTGTGTGTGTGCCCATGTATGTGTCTTTTCTGAATTTCAAGATATCCTGGATTTCTACAAATTATTTTACAAAGTGAAACTTGCAGACCCCCATGTATTCTGAGTCATTTTAATAAATCTCTCAAAATTCCCCATTTCTAGTTCCTTTAGGAATTAATGGATGTCTTTTCCACTATCAAGCCTGTGAAGCTTTCTCAGGATGAAGGAACATGAAACAGAACCTCGTCTTTACTCAGGGAAGATACTAAAGTGCTCTTTCGTCCCTGTGGAATGTGGTTCAGTCCATTAGAAGCAAAAGTGCAAACAGGTGTGATGCCAAAGTTCCCAGCTCATTTTTATAGTAATTAGAATGAATGGACAATGAGTTATTTTTTTCAAGACAAAATATTTTTAGATAATTTTCCAGCAGAGTTATTTTATATTGTTGAGTCAACATCACAAATTAAAGTTCATTAGCCAGAAAATTTTAAGTAAGAGATTAGAAAGACATTACTTTTTGCCTTAGGCTTGTATATCTAATGTATGCCTATCCTACTAAGCCAAAAAAATACACTGGATAAAGGTTACCAGTATTTCTAAAAATTATTTTCATCTGTTTAAATAAAAAGCCTAATATTATTTTAACCAAGTGCCTTGCATGTCTACTTTTCAGAAACAAGTGAAAACAAAAACAAAATCTGCCTGGAAAATATGTGAGCAGAAAGAACATATTCTGTTGCTAAGGGGAAAAAATGTGACTATTCAACATTAATCTGACAATTTTTCAATATATTTCTTTAGAAAATGTTAGCCTTAGTGGCCTGTCAAAAATGATCAACTTAGAACTGCTTAAGAACTGCTTAATGGATGAATCAGAAAATTCTGATGAATTTTTAAATTTACTGACCTGACTTACTGGTGTCATAAGCATCCTTTATTTGTTTTCAAATAAGTATCCCCTGAGCTTTAGGCTTATGGATGGACAAGTATCATGGTGCAGTGGATACAGCATATATCATAAGGAAGACTGACTGGAATTCTCACAACAGACACCACTTCTACTATGTGTTGGACCTTGACAGTAACATCTATTTTTTCATGACCACAGGTAAGGAACAATTCTCTAAATAAGAAAAAAAAAATGCTAACCACAGGGGCTGGAGATTTAGCTCAGTGGCAAAAGCGCCTGCCTGGCAAGCACAAGGTCATGAGTTCGGTTCCCAGTACCGGAGAAAAACCAAAAAAAAAAAAAAAATGCTAACCACAATGGAAAAGATAGATAAATCTGACATTAAAATCAAGAACATCTATTTTTAAAGAGAAACTAAGTTTGAAAAACTAAAAAGCAAGATGTTTACTTTTAACTGATGTATAGATTCTGCCAATTTTCATATTTACAATTCTATAAATTGAAAAGAAGAGGAGGAGAAAGCAATAGCCAAAATGCACAAAAGCTTAACAGACACTTCACAAAAGAGAAAATCAAACTGTCTGATAAACATGAAAAGACGTTTGAGCTCATTAGTAATCAGTAAAATGTAAATTAAATGATGCTAGTTCTCAAGACTGTTTGAAAATTAAATTACTGTATATTAAAGCACCCATAGAAGCCCTGGTATACAGCAGATACAAAACCCACAAAGTTGGCTGAGGGAATAACTTGGTGGTAGAAATATGTATTTAGCATACATGAGGCCCTGGTTTCAATTCCCACACTGTAAGTCCAAAAATGAATACCATACATCTGCTTCCTCAATGATTTTTCCAGGGCCCATCCATGCAAATCAGAAGCATCTCTCCAAAGTGTTAATGTCCATTAGTCACTTGAATCTACAGTGGATGCTTCCAAGGCTTAGAATCTAATTTGGACTCCTGTGGTGAATACACATACTGTAGTTGTTCCACAAGCAATTTTAATGCACTACCTCTATTCCTGACTTCCCATTTTTCTCACTCCACTTTCCTCTTCATGCTATTTTTGTATTCCCTTTAAATTCACTTTACACTGTTATAATATAGGCACCTCGGCAAGACATTTGGGGAGATAAGCAGGGTAGGCCCTACTTCTAGGATAAGTAGGAACATTACAAAACAAGCCTTGCATTTCCATGAATGCCTCTCAGTATAATATATCTGTGGGTCATGCACAAGTATATAAACTTGTCATACCAGTGGGTTGCTAAAGAGAGGTTCAAAGTCAGCATCCTGAGAATTATACTTGCTGTTGGGCCGGTGTCTTAAATTAGCGTGTTCTAAAAGTTTCTACCTAATTGGAAGAGATGATATCCATAGGTGTGATCAATGACCAACAGACTACTCATATCTGTACATACCACAGGAGAGGAAGTCGCGGAAGAGTAAGGAGGAGGTGGTGTCTCCACAGCTATTTCAGGATCTTCCTGTTCACTTTCACTGTAACACTCTGTAACAAAAAATCAAAATGCTTAATGCTTGAACATTATTATCCCCTACCTTTCCCATAATGTATGAGCAGCAGTTTTTGTCTAATCTGGCTATTGAAATTTCAGTCCAATTCAGACAGCAGAAATTGAGTGAATTGCCTGGTGCAAAGGAGTTGCATGAGAGGGAAAAACTAATGATGCTTCTGGTCTTTTGTCCTCAAAGAGCACCTGATATGCAGTCGAAAAATTAATCCCACCCATAGCTCAGGAAAAATTTTTAAAAATTCTTCAAAGGAGAGGTGTGTGAGTCATATTCTAAGAGAGCATAAAATCAGCAGTAATTACATTTAATGATAAGAATCATAATGAACTGAGTAAGCTGCAACCAGCCAGATAACTAAACCATCAGTTGTACGCAAATAGGATGTACTGAGCCAAGCCACCTATACGGAGATCGCTAATGGAGACCGCTGGAAGGCTGTAGGGGCTGTGTCAAGGAATGCCTTAAGTACAAGAATAAGAAGTGCTTTTGCATAGTTCTTCTTTCCCCAGTCTATATCCAGTGAGTACTTACTGTATAAAAAAGAGGACCAAGAAGACTGTTAGGACTCCTTTATTCTTTTAAATCAAATTGCCACTTTTGCATTTCAAAATTTGTTTGTATCATTTTATTATCCAAAAACCAACTCCCTACTTCCAATTCTTGAGTGTTCCATAGGCTGAGTGTTTTAGAAATAGTACCAGCTTGGTGGCCAGGGAACCCAAGGCCTCCCTCTTCTCCACACAAAGAAGTACATCATTAAGAACAGTTAGACTCCCACAGCTTTTGAACCCTGAAAGCTACAGACTGAGCTAAAAGGACGGCCCGTGTCCCCATCTGCCCTTCAGGCTGCTGGTATAATCTTAGGGCAATTAGTCTCTACACACACCTGGTGGAAATGTTAAACTATCAGAGAGGAAATAGTGGGATGAAAGTTATCTGAGTAGATCATGACAAATTCATGTCTATGAGTAAGAATTCAGTAAGTAGGGCAATAAAACACTTGCATTGGCAATTGTTTGAAATATCAGTGAAGCCAAGCTAGTGAAGTGTGGGTGAAGTGTGAAGCCATTCACAGCCAGCATGGGAAGCTCTGCTCAATGTTGGTAAAATCCGTGTGAACATGTCTGTCTCTACATTTCAGATCAGTTCAAATACCAAACTATTTTCATCAGGACCAGACTACATGTGGAACTTGACATTGTTTTTCCCAACCTATTTCATTCTATTCTAATATTCTTGCTAACTTTTCAGAAATTTACAATAGAACATACCTTCATCCTTTGTAATGGATTCCTGATGGATTACAGCTAATCCAAGTTTATTTAACCACCTGAGATTCAAATAGAAAGTAAATGTTTGACCACAGCAATTGACATGTGCTCATCCTCCTTCCCCAGACCCTGAAGGACAGTTTGTGATAGACATGATGGTGAAGTTGATTCCTAATGTCACTCTTAGTCTGAACATTTTAGAAACAGCATAAGCTTGTGGCACTGAAATCTAAGGGCTCTGGTTTTACAATACTGTCTTTGCTTAAGATATGCTTTGTAAAATAGATGAGCTGGTGATGGTGGGCAGCTAAATAACATAATCTAAATGTATGAGCAAATTTATCTTCTCCTATATTTATGCATTTGAGATTTTTAACAGGCATCATAGCCATTTTATTATTAAATTTATTCATTTGACCATTAAAGCTGTGTCTCTATCATTCTCAATAATGTCAATTTATTTCAGAAAAATATAAAGTTGTACATTTTTAAACCAGAAATGCATTTTTGTCAATCAGTATAATATCTGACTAGAATCGGATAGGTACTCCTAAACTGGGGAAATTTTTAATTCTTTGAGAAATTTTGTGTATGTTTTATGAAAAATTAATAATGTTCACTCAATAGTGAGCATTATTTTAATTGGATAATGAATTCCAACTAACCATTAATCACAAAAAGAAAACTAGACAAACTTTGAGGAACTCAAACATGGTTTACAAATTTGGACCACTGGAGGTCTTCCCAAGACTTTAGCTAGAAACACAATTTTTTAAAAGAAAAGAAAAATATGTCTACTTCATATATTCCTGATCATATAATATTATACTTGAAGCAATAATGTTTTGAGGCAGTGACTAGCTATGTTATGTATTTTATTTTCCACTTATTTCTAGTTTTCTGTATTTTTAAAAATACTCCATGTTCTATATTATGTATTCTTTTTTCTTTTTTTTAGAAGACAGAGCATTCACTAGTGGCCTAAAACAAAAAACATGAACAAAACAGCAATACTGTTACACATTTATCAATTCACTTATAGTTTTCATTTCTTCTAGTCCTGCAACATCTCATAACCTTTTCTCCAGGGCAGAAATGTTGCATGTTCCCCAGCGTACAACTGTCAACTCCTCAGAAATCCTCACCCGATCTTCAACCAGCCATGACTTCGTTATATTCATTATTATTTAACAGGAAAGAAATATGAATCACTTGATTTATTAACTGAGTAACCAATTTGAAGAGAACAGTATGTAACACAATATCTATTGTGAATTTTTGAAACTCTGCATTGTTTTATTGTTTGGGTATTGTTTTATTTAGGTCTGTTTGTTTGTTACTATGTTTCATTCTTTATATTTTAAAAATAAATACATAAATAAATAAATAAATAAACAAACAAACAAACCAAGTCTGAGTTTCTGCAAGAAGAAAGATTGGCATAGCCTTCTACAAGAAATTCTCTTCAGCACCACAAGTCCAAGTTCTCTAAAGGCCGCTTTAGCCTGGGCAGTTACTAGGGCCCAGCCAATACCAGAAGAGCTCAAAAGTATTTATCAAGTCTCAAGAGAATAACAAGCAAAATGAAAAAACAGGAAATCACAGGGGGGAAATGCAATAGCTAATACACATATGGGAAAATTCTCAACCTCTGTAGTATTTTGGAAAAGTATCTATTTAGACTCAGGAAAATATTTTCACCACTGAATTGGAAAATATGAAAAATGTTGCTGACATTTAGTACTGAGGAGAAAATGGTAAATGAACATTCTCTTCCATTGTTGAGTTAAACATGAAAATTGGGGCATCCAATTTTGAGCAGGCAATTTGACACTACTAAAATTTAAACATCCATCCTCTTTGCCTAATGACTACAGTTACCTTTCTGCTCTACAAAACATACCTTCATTTGCCTAAAGATGGAAAAACCAGTAAGGGCCAACAACACTTGGAATAGCAGGAAGATTGGGTATAGTGACACATGCTTTTCATCCCAGCTACTTGGATGCTGGGATGAGGAGAATCACAGGATAAAGGCCAGTCTGGGGAACTTAGTGATACCCTATTTCAAAATTTTAAAAAAAGATAGATGATAGATTGATAGAGACACAGACAGACAGACAGACAAACTGGGGACCGTAGCACTGAACTAAAAGAAATGTTTAAAGGTACATTTTTTAAAAATTGATCAGGCAAAATATAATAAATTTCAAGATTCATTTTTAAATACTATAATAACAACTTTTAGTTTATACTTGATTTCATAATTATAATAAGCTGTCCCTGAAAAAATAAAATATCCTAAAAGCTAAGTAGGCGAAATTTAGAAGATAATAAAGGCAAAATAATTTTTGAACTGAGGGTGCCTGAAGCCAAAGACATATCTAAGCCCCTTTCCAGAATAGGAAGATAAAGCAAAGTGAAAATGTATTGACAATAGGGGAAAGACTCCTCTTGTCCCTTACCTAAATCTCATGCCCTTTCCTTTGGCACCATTAGTTTACAAGGTGTGTTCAAAATATTCTTGGAATATTTAAATTTGTGAAAAATGTATTACAGTAAATGACACATTATCATTAATCTCTCTCAGCTCCCCTTGCCTCATTTTGAACACATCCATCCCATTGTTTCTGCCATTTTCTGAAGCAGTTCTAGAAGTCCTATTTGTAAGACTGTCTTTAGTTGCAGTGACATAGTTGGGGAGGGGAAGCAGAGGTGGTGATCTGCCCCAAGGGACACATTTTTAGGGCACCATTATTGCCCAAAAGGAAAATTATATTGTAGCAATTTACTCCATTCAGAGATGTTGGTGGGCAGCAAATTGAAGGACCACCCAAACTGCACAAACTTTAGTTACAGCACTGTTTAGTCACTGTCATAACTGCCTCCATATCCTGAATCAATTCAAAGCATTTACTTTTCATGGTCATTTTGTAGCAAAACAATGCCTCCCAGCCAGTTTGTTAGTTGCCCAGGTAAGAGTTTCTGTTACAGTTCCTGTTACTACTGTCTCCTAGAAATGGCTGGTCACTGTGATGCACATGGTATGAACCAGTCAGAGATAGCCAAGTACTCTGCTTCTTGCTTGCAACTCCATAAAAACCTCCCTTCCTGAGCCTTCAGGGCCTGATATCCTGGGAATGATCTCGATCAGTGCATGTCAATGTAAAATAAATCTGCCTCCAAATCCTGGGTGCCATTTTGGTGTTTCTGCTTGCTGTTCCAATTTTGACTTTGCAGAAGAGCCAGAAGTCTCATGGTGCCAGATCAGGTAAATAAGGTGGATGAGGACACTGTAATGCTTTTATACACCTGCCTTTCCAAAACTGGATGCACTGGGCAGCATTACACACCATATTGTGACTACATCTTGTAAAGATAGAAAGAGAACTTCTTCAAAAGGTAGCAAGAATGATGGGATGGGTTTCAAAGGAAAGGGAAGGGGCTGGCGATTTAGCTCAGTGGCACAGTGCCTGCCTGGCAAGCACAAGGTCGTGATTTCAATTCCTGGTACCAGAAAAAAAAACAAAAACAAACAAACAAATAAACAAAGCAAAGGGAAGTATTTTGAGAAGAATTAATGGTGTGATATGTCCCTTAATAAATTTTTAAAATTTAAACATTCAGGGATGGGGAGATAGCTCAGTGGCACAAGGCCTGCCTGGCAAGCACAAGGTCTTGAGTTCAATTCCCAGTACAAAAAAAAAAATTAAACATTCACCATGGCTTTTGATCCTATCTTATATTTATTGTGACAAACCAGCAATTGTTTTAAAAAATTCTATTCCATGTTTTTTCTAGAACTCACTGACTTTGGATTCCTCCCTTGCTAAGAAATTTTCTTAGATTTCATTGCAGCAAAATAGTTTTATTTATGGATAAATAGATGGAGGCACAAAACAATTTATATTTACATAAAAGAAGGTGACAGATGTTTCCTGGGAGTTTGTTGTGTATTAACTTAATGGTAATGTGTGTGTTGGAGGAGCACAAGTGTTAGGAAGGAGACATACAAAACAAGAGCATCTTCCCACAAACACTGTCTGAGAAAGGCAGCAACCACACTCTTTGCTTAGAAACCAACTCTTTCATTATCCCTAATTACTTACCCTGCACTGGTAAATTGAGGGTCTCTGCAGAATATGCAAAGTTTCTACTAAATTTAATTACTTTCCTTTCATTGTCTCTGAGAGAAATGTCACCATCCAGAAATGGAGTTACCCAAGGAGGAGAACATGTAAAATAGAACCCATCACTCCAACGCCACCTGCTCCAACACCACTTCCTTCCTCCCTCCCACTGAGCCAATAAGCCATCCTAAGATACAGCATTTACTGGCTTATGTAGGCTGCATTAAGAAGGCTGAAAGATCTTTCAGGTGTTACTGAAATCTAATCTCTAAGTATAACCTACGTAATCTGGTTGGACAAAGGAAATGTTAATTTGGCAGCACAGGGAAATTCTGCGTTTTTAGCCATTATAAAAATCATCTTTAGAATAATAAAATCCAGTAATGATGTAATAAATACCCTTGTGATATACTCACACACAGACAAAATGAGCTATGTATCCATATCTGGCCTGATAAACAATTTTCAAGCATAAACATGACTGGAGAGATTCAAAAACAGATTAAGAAAACTGAAGTTCAAATTTCAGTTGACACCTTGTTTATAAGTTAGAAAGAGAAACACTAACAGGATTTCAAGTAACATTGACAATACTTCACAAAATAGATGGCCAATAAGATCTTTTTTTTTTCCAGTACCAGGAATCGAACTCACAACCTCGTGTTTGCCAGGTAGGTGCTGTGCCACTAAGCTAAATCCCCAGCAAGATCTTGATCCTGGTAGTAACTGTGATGGGCTTTGCTTTGGCAGCCAACAACATACGGTACAAACTAATACTCAGGCAACACTACTTGTCATTCGATAACTATCTGCAAATGGAGAACACATAAATGGAAGATAAATAGACCAGAAATGTAAGCAAACCCTGAGGAGGTGATAGGACAGGGAAGCAGGGAGTTCAAATACAATTTAGAGAACAAATCAGTCTGAAATATAGACGATTCAAATAACCACGGAAGGGTCAAACCTTTTATTGTTTGAAAAGTCTGTTTTACTCTGCACGAGGAAAAACTTACTAGGTAACAAACACTTATAAGTAATTGTTTCTCTGAGGAGCTCAGCTTTACTCACTCCATGCTGGGGAGAAGAGAACTATGGTATGGATTTTGAAAGAAGTAGCTCAGGATGGATGGGAATGGCAGTGCCAGGGAAAAAACTGGTAACAAGGTGCTCTTAGAAAAGAGAAGCCAGGGACAGCAGGAGGCTGCTGGAGAGGCACTAGCGGGCACAACTGTCTCCCCGCCTACACACACCAAGAGCTATTTGGACATCATTGGTGGCTCAGCTGGTTGACACCACCATCACTCCACAGTCTCCCACACCACTTACAGGGCAAGGGTTGGCCGATCAAAAGGATTTAGTCCCCAGTACAAATAGAAAGAGGAGGAAACAGCTTTGACCGTGAAATTTTTAAATCTTTCTCATTTTATGTATCTGCTCTTGTTTGTTTGTTTATTTGTTTGTTTGTTTGTTTTTTTCAGGTGCTTGAAAAATCCAAGAGGGAGAAAAGGCTAAAGTCAGAAAAAGTGTAGAAACAATTTCTTCCATACTTTGTCTAAATGAATCAAAGACTTGTTTAGAAGACTCAATTGTCCAATCCTCCCCTGCCTCCATGTGTCTACCCAGGATTTCCCAATTGTCTGGAAGCAGTTTTGACCTCGTCCTTGGAAGAGAGGTGGTAGGAGTTGAGTGTTGGGAACAGTGAGAAGGCATCTATCTAGCAGGGGTGGGTGTTGCTCCTGAGGGGATGACCTGTCAGAACGGGTTGTGTGTGTGTGTGTGTCTGTCTGTCTGTCTGTCTATCTCTGCCATTGTCTCTGTCTCTGTGCACGCATGTAATGGAAAGCAACTTCTATTTTCTTTAAGTTTCTAAAACAAGAAGGGAGAGAAAAATCAGGGCAAATAAGTAAGGGCATTATTATGTACAAATAAACGAAATAGATTTTTAGCATAAGCTCTATGAATGGAGGAGCGTGTGTGTATGTGTGTGTGTGTGTGTGTGTGTGTGTGTGTGTATTTTACTGCTATCACCCAGCATCTGTTACAGTGGGGCACACAGTGGGTGTTCCATAAACATATTTAATTGATTATGTGAAGGTAATAAAAGATAATGAGAATTCTGAGATTGCACTTAAATTAAATGAAGTATTCTCTGATGCTTCAGATCAGCACTTCAAATCCAGCCTCATTCAAACAGCAGCCAGTGTAGATACCTTCATATAAAGCAGTAGAGATTGACTACACATATAATACAGTTATTTAAAGATAACAAAAAGAAAATGAAGCTAAGTATGTAAAATTTTAAGTTAGATCTGAGAAGGACATTTTATGAAAGAGTCTGTGGTACATAAAGAGGTGATAAATCCCTGAATCTACATGATAATCACACACCACATATTAAGTGCTGTAAATAGACTCCGCACATACAAAGTTGAGAGGCCAATTACAAAGTACTTTCAAGTTTTTTTCCTTGTGTTGCCAACACTTGTTTTAACATCTTCTTATATTAATTTTCATCTAGCTTTTCTTGGCCTAGTGGTTCCTTCAGAACAATCTCATGATTTCTTTCTAAATAACCATTTGACATCAGTAGTTCTCCAAAATGCTTCCAAATACTAGAGCACAGACAAGAAGGCTTTGGAACTGCTAAATAAATTAATCCTTAAAGTAACAGAAATATGTAAAACAATAATTGATATAACATGGGCTTAAACTTTCAGTGCACAACCAAGGTAAGGTGTGCTTGTATTTAACAACTTCCTCTACTTACACATTCATTTCCTGCAGATTCTCAGCTGCAAAATAAAAGGTCTTGATCTGTGGGTGGTTGATCTTCAATGCACTAGGAAGAGGAGAAACACAAGCACATAAGAATTCGTGTTTATAAACATTCAGGGATCAGAAAAAAAAATTAGTCAAATATAAGCACCATAAAAGGTTTTTTTTGTAAATTACAAAAATTTGTTGCAGAAAACACATGTTGTCTAGTCCCTATTTCAGATAGCATTCTGCAAGTCGATTTATCATATTGAGACTGAGACTTTGCTAGTCAATAGTTTCCATTGAAAATATATGGGCATATATATTTCTTTTCACTTGCTAGCTGCTTTCCTCTAAAGATATAATAAGCTAAATTTGACAGTTATAGAGATGTCACTTCAAAATATTCGTATTGAAGCTTTTATTTAAATTAAATCAAAGGTATACCAAAATTTTATTCATAAAAACAATTAGGTATGGATTTCTGCTCTGTGACAATTCATCAGAAACCTTATGCAAAGCACCCTTTACCAATAAAGGCAAAATAAAAGGTGGCTTTTAGTTTGAAGGAAAAATTTAACACCGTGACATAATAAATAATAAAATGCTTCCACTTTACCGTTGAGATCAGAAGTTCTGCAGGACCGGACAGTTTTTTTTTTTTTACATAACCAATCAGAAACCACAAGAATCAACACAATCCATGTAACATGGGATACATGCTGCTATATCAGAGTGACAAAGAACTAAAGCAAACATCAGCTTAATTGTCTTACAAGAAAACAATCATTTGCTGCAACTAAAAGCATAGGTCAGTAGAGAAATTCCCCTTTTCAATAAGACTGGAAAAGATATCAAAAGTAGAAGAGTTTTTTTAAAGGTCAAAGACAATATAAATGAAAAATAACAGCAGGCTACTGTCATGGGAAGGGAGCCTTACTGGGAGTCTGGAGACCTCTGTGCAGAACCTGAACTCTTCTGAACTCTGGGCTGGCAACAGACTCCCCAGGCTATTGTATTTCCTTCTTTCTAAAGCAAAGATCATGAGCTGGAGAGTGCTTTGCTCCTGTCAGTTTTCAAATCTTTTTGGCTTATATGATATCCACGTATAATCCCAAGCTTAAAACATCTCAGAGAATTCAATCTCAAGGGTGCTACTGACAATGCCATGATGTAAGGGAAACCGGCTGCACTATTATGCCTACAACTCTGCTGAGGCTTACTTAACTATTGCTGCTCTTTACAAGGCCCAAACCTTGACAGCTATTTGACTACCCTGCCAGTCCTGGAGCGGAATGTATTTTTCACTCCATCACTGGCACAGTTAATAGCATCCCATGCCAAGTCTTCAGGGAGGCTTTAATCCCACATGCTCCATCAAATGAAGCACCAGAAGATGAGACCTTCACTCACTTCCACGTCATCACGTCATTGGATAATTATAAAGGACATTATCCTGACTCAGTTCTGTGGCAGTTAAGAAGTGACTTACTGCTTTTTCTTGCATTCTGATGCTCTTTCCACAGTGAAATCAGAAAGGTTGACAAATCCATCTGCTTTCTCTGCCTGAAACAAATACATCCCACAATTAGGAATAAATACATCAATCCTAGGGGTTATTGAAATTATGTAAATGCAGTAGAGATGGTGTGAATAAAATGAGATAGAATCAACAGATACCTTCTTGAATCAGCACTAACCACGGACTTACTCCAGACACAAAATTTATGACAGAAATTAATATTCTCCTGATTAGCTACCCAGAATCTTTACATGAGAAGCAGCATGATGTAGCTTAGGGCTGGTCAACATCTGGCAGGCATATGGCCCCTGACCCCTTCCTGTCTGCAATGAACCCACAAAGCCAAACCATCTGAGACCTACTTCCTGCTGACCTCATAGCCATCCTCACCATCATTCACATCCTACTACCAAAACACTTCAGATGAAACCCCATTTGCAACCTTGATACGGTGGACAGAGCCCTCCCTGTGGACTTAACCAATCTATATTCCTATCGTGGACCTACTTCTTGCTAATTGTTGTGACTTAAGTGGGAGTCTAGAGAAATAAAACACAGAAGAGACAATCACCAAACACTATTTCCTCTCCCAAGTCTGCAGGCAGTATCTGGGGAATTCAACCACAGATCCACATCCCGCAGAAAAACTTAGTTCCAAAATCAATTCCTGTAAAGCAAAAACTTCAGGAGAAAATGACACTTCTGAGGACCTAGCAGAAATGTTGCTTTAAGGCATCAAAAATGTCACAGGAAATGTACTCACTGTCCCACCTCTCTATGAATTTGTTAAGGTATGTTTTCTGAATAAAGTGTAACTGAGCTACATGAAGCTGGATTGTTTGTCATCAGCATAACCCAAATCTCCTCTCATTGACACTGGTATCTGTGAGTAGAGAAATAACTCTACAGATTAAATGCAGATAAGTCAATGGTTTTTGGGAGACGAGTTAAAATTGTTTTTGAAAATAATCTTAATTTTTAAAGTCAGCTAGCCATGTATAGCACCACAGGTGATCTTGGCTGAATTCATCATTCTGCATCCTTTTTTTATTGCCACCTAGAGGCACTTACTGCAATCTTCAAAAGAATGAAACTGTGAGACATTCAACCATGTTTCCATCCTCCATCTCCTACATGACCTGTCATGCAGTTCTTTACCTCCACTGCCTCCCTCTTATAAGATTTAAAACTTCATCCTGATGGACATTTCTCTCTTTTAAAAAAAATATATATAACACTGAGTGAATATACATATTTGTCCACATATATGCATGTTCAAATCTATATGCATATTCACATATAGTCAGATATATTTCATATGTGTGTGAAACTTATCTATTGATAGGCTGGTTAATTACCACATGGTATTTTCACCAATTCTATGTCAAAAAAGAATGCAGATTCAAAAATCATAAAATGTACCAGTAACTTTTTATATGATGCACAGTAGTTCCTGTGAGTTCTCAGTGTCAAATGAAAGTATATTTTTACAAAAACTGTTAGGTACCATGCATTCCATTTCTAGAGATTTACTCAGAAGATTCAAAAATGGATACAGTAGTTAAATAAATACATGTTCATACATGGCCATAGAAGCACTATTCACAATAGCCAAAAGATTGAAAAACCCAAAAGACCATCAATAGGTGAAGAATAAACAAATTGCCATACACCCATGAAATGAAAGATTATTTTTACATATAAAAGAATAAAGTATTAATACATACTACATGGATGAAACTTTACAACATTATGTTAAATGAAACAAATTAGACACAAAAGGTCACATATTGTATAATTCCAATTCTTTCAAGTAGCCAGCATATAAAATGCCTGAAGACAGAGGACAGTTTGGCACTGGGGAGTGATGGGTGGGAAACAACAGCTCAGGCTACCTTTTGGCATGATGAAAACATTTTGGAACTAGAGAAAGGAGATTCACTGTGAATATACCAAGTGGCCACTGAGCTGCTCACTTTAAATTAGTTGATTTTATGTTACATTTATTTCCTCAATAAAATTATGAGTTAAAGTATTTTTATTCAAATTCCCATAACTGATACAGAAAGAAAAGTGATTTATACTCACCATTTATTTCTATTTCCAGAATATTTGAGATGTCATTTACCCCAATGACTTCCACATGGATGGCGCCTATCCTTCTTTTTAGTCCTCATTCGATGGAACTCCAGTAACTGATACTATAGCTACTTTCTCCCTCTTAACACACCCTTCTATCTTGGTCTTTCTGACAGCACATTACTGTTGCTCCCCTGTTCCTCTAAGGACTCTTTCATTTCCTGGGGTCTTCTCCACCTGTGTGTTTCTTACATCAGAGCTCCCCAGAGTTCTGCCCACAGACGTAGGACTCTTCTCATCACAGTACTCTCAATGAGTGATCACGCAAAATGCATGGTTTAACCTATCATTTTACACACATTTCCAAAATCTATTCCTCAAACTGCAATTCAGCCCTGGAGCTCCTGCCCAGGTCTACACTGTCTAGTGCACAGTTCATATGGTATTCTACAAGCTCCTCAAGAGTGGCAAATAAAAACCCAAATCTATCATCTTGCACCCTGCATATGCCTGCTGCCTGCTCCTCTTTCTCCTGTTCTCTGATTCAATGAAAAAAACCACTTTCTATCCTGATGCCAAAGAATAAATTCTGAGGGATAATCCCCCAGCCCACCTATAGTTTTAATAGTGTCTGTCTCCCTTAAAACTCATGGTGAGGCTTGGTCCCCTATGTGACAACGTTAAGTATAATATTGAGGCCTTTAAATATAACTAAGTCACTAAGAGAAATTCTTTTCTCATGAGCTGTCATTGTTTCAAGTCTAGATCAGTTGCTGTAAGAGTGGTTATTAAAAAAGGAAGACACCCATATGTCTGGCACCTTTTGCATGCAATCATCTCCCTTTCCACTTGTCTACCAGGAAGTAGGAAGTACATGGTCTGGAACAGAAGTTGAGCAGATACCATTGCCATAACCTTGGGCCTCCAGAACTATCAGCTAACTAAACCTCTTTCTTTTCTAATTCACCCAGCATCTGGTATTTTCCTATAGAACGTAGCCTAAGACAATATGCTTATTGGAATTCATGCAGGTAAACACAAAGCTATATCTTTGCTCCATCTGTCATATATTATTAATGCACCTACTACCTTCCACCTCCATCAGAACGTCATTAATGTTTTCTTGAATTGCTGTGTAAGTCTCTAAACTACTCTCCTTCTTTCTAATTCTTTCTCTCCACCCAATTTAGTGTCAAAGTCATAGTCGCAGCAAATCTTGGCATCATGAGCACCCTTCATGTCATTTCTCTAATTAAAACCTACCTGATTCCCAGTTGCACTTGGATAATTCTGAGTGCCTTAGCAGAAGGTCCTTTATGATCCATCCCTAATTTATACCAGTCTTATCTTTTCCAATCCCCTTTCCCCATACTCACCAAAAATAAACAGAAAAATTAAAACAAAACACAATACTACCATAGAGCAGAATTAGAATTGACCCCCAACTTGTGGGACTTTTAGTTTCTAGACAATTTGTTTTCAGTACAGAAAGCCCATCTCAAATGACAACACAAAAATCACTCAAAAAGTGAAACATACGTGTACTCATATTTTTGTTTACTTAAAAATAAATCAATGTAAAAGATAAATTGTAAATCTTCATGTGGGTGGATCCCACTTCTTCATATCTGAAATGACTATGATTCCTTTAAACAAGATCCCAAATAAATTTGAGCATAACCACCTCAGTGTTTCCTCAGGAAATCTTCCCTTCATAAGCAGAGACTGCTTTTCATTATTCTGAAGACATTCAAGCTGTATTTAAAGTCACAGACAGCTGTGTCAGAAATGCTCCTTGCTTATTTGACTTGCAAAAATGCCTCCAAAATGACAATCACACTGGGAAAATACTGAAGGAATGACAGCTTTCTTCTTTGTCTCCTTCTCCTCCGTCTCCTCCTTTCAGAGTCCTTGTTACCAGTTACATTTAACGAAAATAACTGACTTGAAAATAACTGACCCCTTTTATGATCCCTAACTTTCTAAAATGTTACTTGAAAGTTGTGCTTTGATACCTGAAAATTTCCCTCTGAGCCCCAGTGTAGTAAAAGACTTGTTCTCTGGCCAGAAGTATCGCATTATCCTTTGACCATTGTGCAAGACTGTCCCAGCCAACCTAGTTTTAAATTCTGAAACAACTCTACTTTTCACTTCACGTTTCAGCTCATCCCCACGTCTCCCCCTGCATCTCTGATTTTCTGCACTTTAGTGGAGAAACACGTGCACTTCTTATCACTGGGTAGCACTAAATTTACATTTTTACCAAAACCATTATTGTTAAAATGTTGGAGGGAAATGTTAAAAGGTAAAGGTGCTGACCATCTCTCATGTCATGAGGCATCTGTATTTACATTTCCCTGGAACTCTCTGCCCCCATTCATCTTCAGAGCTCTAGACATTGGTTTGTTCAACAAATGTTTACAAAGCACCCTCTTCACATCAGACACTGTGTCAAATACGTGGAATACAACCATGAACAAACCAGAGGTCTCTGCTCTCGAGAAACGAAAAGACAGTCCACTCAACATGGAAACATATAAACTGAACAGGAAAAGTGATGTAGCTGAGTGTAATGGTATTTCAGAGTGTGGGCATGGAAGGTTACCTGCTGCTGCCTGACAAATTGCCTCCTCTTGCCTCAACTCGCTAAGTTTTCAGGACCCAGCATAGGTGAAACCTTCTCCAAAGCTTTCTCCTGCTCTCCCTGTGCTGGCACAGGTGCCCCCTGCTTGCCTCAGTAGCAGGAATGGGTTTTCCTTAAAGTACTTCTCTCACTGAATTTAGTCATCTGCTGCTTCTCCAACAGACTAAGAATCATGAAGAAAATACTTGTGTCATTTATGTATATTATGTATACACAAGGAAGGTATTCAATACATGTAGAATAAGTTTTATGAATGACTGAGGGATAAGTCAAGTCATTTTCCTCTGACAATAAAATATTAAGATAAGATGCAGAAGGTAC